AATAAAGAAGTAACCAAGGAGTTGTTCAAAACTCTGAGACTTGAAATGTCAAAATTCTGTTGCCTCCGGTTTTGATAGAATTAAGCTGTTTTGAAGGTTTCATGCCTTGCTATTCCTGAAAATCTATTTCTGGAAGACCTTTGTTTTGCTGAGCACCAAATTCTCTTTGTTAAATTTATTACTTTAAAAAATAGCTTATTGCATGCTGAAATTAAATGAAATGTTTTCTTGTGTCTTTAAAATTTTCTCTTTAGGACATGATTTTCTTAAATTTTTGAAATTAAAATTCTTACCTAGCTGCTAATGGTTGTAACTAAAGCTGAAGCCTATCCTTAAATTTGTAATTATTTTCTTTCATAAGTATTTTTCGTAAAAGTGAAGTGATTTGATCATCAAAAACATTGGCCTTTTCTCATGGATGGTTCCACAACAAACATCTCAGGCTTTAGCAGTGATCAAAAAACAAACCAAGTAGTGGAAAAATCAAAGTGAAACAAAGAACATATTTATGCCATTATATAAGTCCATCTTTAATTCATATCATAAATACTGTATAAAACATTGGCTCCTCAACACAAATAAAGAATGATTATAGAACAGGAGGTAAATGGTTAAAAATTGAGTATAGGCTAATTCTTCAGTCTAGAAAGGGGGTAACTAAGAACTGTTGCATGAGTGGTCTATAAATTCACAGTATTATGAACAAGACAGGCAAGATTGGATTGTCTTTCTATTCCAATACAGAAAGTTTGAGGTATCAGAGAGAAGCAGTAGGCACCAGATTCAGCAGGTGGAAGCTCTTAATTTTTTTCATAGCAAAACTGTAAACCTATTTGCATATTATGGATGCCAGAAGTTTTTATGGCTTCAAGAGAAGACTGGATAGTCGTGAAAAACAAATCCGTTGATGGTTTCTAATACCTACAGACTTATCCATCTCAGGAATTCACAAAGGCTGGACTAGTGTTGGAGGTTATCCTGTTGACTTGCCTGCTCTTACTCTTTCTTTATATTCATTGTTTGATGTACAAAAATGAACAAGATATATGTATATTTGATCTGACTGGGTGCCACCGTTTGTACAAGAGCTAGAAATGGAATCTGAAATTTTACCCTCTCTTGGGTTATGTTATCAACATCCTTTCCTAAGCTCCTCTGCAAATTTTAGGTGTACTCACTGTGGGATTAGTAGCCAGAAGGGAGCATGAACCAAATAAGTGTGTCAGTGCTACACCAAATAAAGATTTCTTCTTTGGATCAAGGAATTTTTATGTCCTTGTATAATAATATGTTGAGTTAAGGGGAAGATGTATCTTCTGCTTTGCCTTTTTGTATTGTCATTTAGAATGATGAGTCTGGCTTGACTTGTTGGCTAAGGTACATTGTTATCCTGAATGAAAGATCAGTCATTTTATTAGGCTCTAACTTATTTTATTAGTCCCTTGGAAGCTATTAGAGCAGAACAGCCACAAATCAATGCTTTCTCTTCATAGCACGTTTTTCAGCTTCTCTCTGTCACATGCTAAAGTGAAAGTATCAGTCAGGGAATATAGTCCAAATGCATGTAATTCACCATAAAAGATTAAGGACTTGTAATTTTTCCCCCTGCCATTTGTTTTTCTTAGCAATTAGCTTTTGGATCTGTTTGTTTCTTTGTTTACCTTAAGTGATAATAAACACAGTTCTTTCTTTGGTAGACCTATTGTAAAATGAAATTTGATTTTATCCAGTAGTGAAAGGTATATCTAAACTTATGTCTTAAAGGTAGGAGGAGGAAATATATTGATTAAAAGCAGATAAACAATTTCTTTGAACTGGGTAAACTGTGTGACTTACAAAGAAATTTGCACATGTTAATTTTCTACTTTTTTAATGAGATATTACACTGCTTTTAAAATAATTTTGCAGGGAGAATAAATCCTTGATATTTCATCACAAGTAGTGGTTAACTGTTGGCAGTACAAAAGCCCTATAGTAATCATACTTTTGAAAGACCAAAAACCAGAAAGAAGAATATGTAAGTAGAAATAAACGCTGTAGTGCCTACATCCTTAAAACAATACATATTGAAATGGAAGTAAAACCTATTTTTTTTATTTTTATGATTAAAAATTATAAGAACTTAAAAAAATCTAGCAGTGTGCCCTACTCAATTGTACTTTTTAGTTTATTTAACACATTTGGGCTCTTAGTGCTTGTAGTGCTGTGAAGTGTCTCAGGCCTGGAGTCTGTCCTTCTGTGATAAATGTGCCAGGCAGATGCTGCAGTGGAGTGAAGTGTGTTAGATTCTGCTTAATCATGCTTATGGCTTCTGTCTATACTTTTATTAGTATGCTGGATTTTAAATGTCATCCAGCATAAAAAATCAATCCCAATCTGAGAGCTTTTTATGTGGGTGGCAAGAGACAAAGGCAGTTTTAACTTTTTGCATTGTGTTCTGAGTGCAAATGGCACAACTCACAAGCCACCCTGTATCTTTTATCTCTGTCAATGCAGCCACTGGCTATAATTTAGAAGAAGCAGACCCTTGTAGAGAAAGTAGGGCATGATGAGGGCATAAACTAAATCTGAAACACTCTCTAAATGCCTAAAATAAAAGCCAAAGTACCTAGATCTAACAATGCCATTCAGAAACGCCCTTATCAATGTCCCTGAGGGCATCAACAGCCTGACTGTCCCTGCCTGGCCCCTCCTAGAGCCTCCCCTCACCCTTCCCATGGTCCAGGACCCATTTCAGTGAAGCCAGAGGGGTTCAGACCCTCACCTCAGACTCTCCTAGCCATGGGGTTGGGGCTGCTCTGGGCTGCCCACACTCCACACCATACCCTGACACTTGGGAAAGATTAATTAATGAAGAACTTGCAATAGGCAGCAAAGTTTGCTTAGAGAGTTCAGCCCTTGGGGATTCAGCCAAGAGCAACAGCTCTGTGGAATAAAAGAGGTGATCTGAGTGCTGGTCCTGCAGACTGGTCCCTCATTCCAGCTCCCTGGATTGCTGTCTTGAATTCAAGGAGTCTATAACAGCTGCATATCGCATCTGCTGTGGAAATATTGACAAGGAGTAAATATTTGTAATTTAAAAGCTATAAGCAAGTTTTGTAGCTGCCATTTAAATTCTATAAATGCCAATCAGTTACATCAATTTTCTAAAATTTATGATTTTCTTTCCAAGTTACAATACAGAATGATCATGGTCAATAATTCCAAAGTTATGGAGGCAACCTAGAGAGATGACGGGTAGAGAGAGTGCTTTTTCACTTGCTTGTTTTTAGGGGAAAAATACAACCCAAAATTCAACCTGTAATAAGATGCAAAACCCAAAAATTTCTACAAAAAGCCAATATTTTTTTTTAAAAGGATTTTGTCTCAAAGCAGTGGATTAAGGTCTGATTTTAGTTCCTTCAGGGGTGAAAGGTAAAACAGTTACTCTAAAGACTTGAAAGGTAATATAAATCAAATATGTTCAAATTCACGAGAACAAATGCTGTATAGACAGGTATTCCTTATGGAGAGAATATGTCCCCAAAAATCACACAGCTGAATCTTTCTTTAGACAGTAATTTTTAAATCCATAAACTTCTATGAATTGGATGGCTATAAAGACATTTGGAATTATCAATGTGTGCCCTTTTCATTGAGACTAACCTGTAATTATATTGCTTTCTGAATGACTTCTGGGATGCTTCATTCCCTCCAGTTCCAGACTTTTTCACTATCAACTGTATCACTGTTCTAATGGTAGCTGTTTCCCTCCACCCACTCCCCCACCAAGTGAAGGAGTGCTTGTTTGGGAATTTGCAGAAATCATAGGCCTTTTTTTGGGATGTGGATTCTTTCAGTGGCTGCAGAGAAGCTATTTTACTTCCTTGTGATCCAAAGGAAGCCTAAAAAAATACATATGATGCTTTAAATTATTCTGAAAACTGCTTTTATAATATTTAACTGCAAGAGGTGAATGGTTTATGTTGCTGACTTTGTCAGTTTATCAGCTCTGTAGGTTTCACTAAAACTGAGCCATCTGCTTGAGGTGAATGTGGTTTTCAGTCGTTCTCCTAATAACTTCATAAAATGTAGTGAACACTATCTGCAAAGCACCAGGTATAACTTGATTTTCGTACTTAATCACTGATTTTGAGAACATTACAAAGTCAGCAGAAAGAGACGTATGCTTATCAAGCATGTATCACATGAGCTGGATTTTATATTTTTCTGGTGTTTGGAACAAATTCCAAAAGAAGATTTTAGAAAATCAGCAGCACAAGGTATGTTTTGTGTATTTCCCAACAGCATCCTTTTCTCTTTAGTGCGCAAAGCCAGTTAGTGCCATCTGTCACATGTTTGTGATATATAGGCCACGGAACAAGGGAATCATGCTCCTAGAGTGGAAAATGAAGCAATCTCCCTGATAGTAGCGTTTTAAACCCATTTTCTTACTACTGTCAAAGCTAATTCATGTTGTTGTAAATTCGCTTCCTTTAAAAGTGTGAAACCAAATAGTAAACGAAATGAAGTTGCAATCTGTAATTCTGTTGTCACTGTGTTCTCTACAGGAAGTTGCATAGACACTGTATTGGTGCCACCTTCCTACGTCTAAAAATTTCCTTCTTTTCAGGGTGTGAAACCTGTGTTTCAGCTACTGCTGTGGCCAAGTTTGATGCTTGATGGTGACTTTTCTGTTAGAGTATTGTCAGGGTTTATCAGATATTATTGCCTTGTAATATACATATGCATGTACAACTGTTTTCTTTTGAGTAAAACAAAGAAAAAAGGTGTAGAATCTTTTATATCTCCCCTCTTAGGGATAAAACCAATGTTTTGAGAGGTAGATAAATGTTATGATTTGCTCTCTTTTTTTTTTTTTTTGGTTGACTTTGCTGCTGTCACAAGTTAAATGCTGGTAGCACTAAAATATTGCTGTTTTCATCAATCTTTCTACACCTATACTAGTGGAATGCTGTGAAGTTGTTACAATACGTCCTGTAGTAAAGGACAGCTAATATTAAATTTGATATTTACAAACATTTGCATTAGACTGTGTGATAATTCTGTTTAAGGCATCAACTTAATACACAGTAGCAGTAATCTGGTTTTCCCTATACATTTTTGATCTCTTACAAAAGCGTTCTTTAACTTTGAACATACATTATGTTTTAAATACTATTTGCTTTATGGAAAGCAAAACATATAAGGCTCTGTATCAAATAATTGCTTGCATAGGCAGGCCTGTTTGGAATAGCATGTTTGGAAACACCAACTGAGATTGTGTAGAAGAATGTAGTTTTCTCTGCATGGAATATCCAACCTTGACCCACGTATCTTCTTTGGGAATTATAATTTGGCAGGAACCACCAGAGAGAGCACAATGTTATTGAAGATTCAGGTTATTTAAGGAGAACAGTTTTTATTTCATTGGAATAATTGAGTCACATATAAATAGCAGGACTGGACAAACACAGCATATTAAATATTAGATCCAGAACATAGAATTTTAGATCTGGTGTCATTGGCAGATGCATCAAATCCCACAAAAAAAATATTACAGCACCTGAGAACATGACCTTTACAAGATTATACAGCACTGAAAAGTCACATTTACCACCTACTCAACTATATTATGTAGTCCAGTCTTCTTTATTCTGTTAAAGGCAATACCAACGAGAACTTATGTAAGTAAAATTTAGGATTTGGCAATTACTTGCAAAGACAGTCCTCACTTTATGAAATTGAATACAGAAATTCACCCCATGAGAATACCAGTGGAATAATCTGGAAAATTCATAGGAGTGCATGTGAATACCAGCAGAGTGATCTTACATAAAGAATTTATTGGTCTTCTTCTGTGCAAATAGAGTCTCCTACTTTTCAGCAGACATCTGTATTATTTAGTACTGTGTTAAGTAGCTCTCCTTCCTGGTTGACTGGAATCTTAGATTAGCTATAATAACTTAATGTCTTGTGATTTTCCCTTTCTCAATAGGTGGTTCATCTCCACAGGAATATCTTTTTCTTTTTAAGCCACCTTTATTTCTCTTTAGTCTTAGTTCACATTATAAACAGATAAAATGGAAAGCGTATCTTTATATGTAATATCCATATTGCTAAATATGCTTTATGCACCATGTAAAACAAGCTCTGTGTTCCACAGGATATCTGAAAAGGGTAAATTCACTATTGTGATCCCAATCTAGACATACAGTAACAAGCTGTCAGTCTTACACTGTCAGTATGTACTTTGCATGTCACCAAGTTTGTAGTTGTACTAATGAAACACTCACAAATCCTGCCAATATGATTTTGCAACATTTTTTACACTTTCCTGCTACAGAAGATTGCCTGGAAATTCAGTATCCACAGTGTACAACAACCATCATGTAATTCCACCAGAAGTCAGCTCATTACTCTGCACCAGTTCCAGTGGGGCTTTTGCCTTCTTCAGACAAAGGAGGCTTCGATCTCTTCTGTAATTAGCATCTCTAAAAAGGTTTCTAAGAAAGTAGTTTTAGACAGAACAAAATTAGGTTACAAAATAACCTCAAACAATGTTGAGGAGAAGCCTTGTCCATCGGTCGTAGTAAAAATTCAGTGTTTTGGAGTCAAAGTTTCATGTTACTAAAATTCTTATGCAGGATCTTCTATTTCAAGAAAGTTACAGGAATCACAGAACAGAGATGTGGTTTGCGCAGCTTTTGCTCTTCTTCCATTAGTTTGATGGCTTTTTAGATGTTCTGCAAGAAATCTGTACTCAACCATTCCATTCCTAGGAAGGAAGCAACAAACTTGTAGAGGATGATGATCTAGGGCTCCGTTCTGCATGGCTGTAGAGAGTTGTACGTCACAAATTAGAACCAGTGGGTACTTATGTCACATCAGTTTTGTTTCAGAGCAGAACAAGAAAATCTGGCCCTTGCAGAATATGAATGTAACTTGCATATTGTAGTAGGATGATGTCGTCTTTATATAATACTACAATCTGGCTTTAGTTTTGAGCAAATGTTTTCTACGATTACACACAAAATTTCTTCCAGAAATGTCTAATCAAAGTCTGTTTTCTTTCTATTCTATATCCAATATTATTCAATATTTCTATTGTATTTTGATTCTACTTTAATGAAAATTAATTTTTGGTCTTTTTTGGTCTTATCCTTTCTTTACTGTTAATCCTTTCTCTTGTCATTTCCTGATGAACTTTAGCTAAGCATTCTATACTCCAGTTTTATTTTCTTTCCACCTGAAATTTAGAAGTTAGACTTCTTATTAACCTAGTCTATAAAAACTCCTCATGGACTTCTGCTGAAATTTTTTTAGTATTTTCATTTTTTTCCTTTCACAGTGAGAATATTTCAGTGTCTTTTACCTCATTGGTCTTTTACTTAGGGGTTTTTGTCTTACTTTGCATGTAGTACAGGACTATTAATAAATTCTTCTTTCTCCCTATTTGTTTTCTTTTAGAAGTTTGTCTTTGCTTGTCTCCTCCTTTTCCTAACAATTTCTCTTTCTTCAAAGAAGAAGCTATCTTCTTCTTTGCTCAATCTGTCTAAGTGAATGGTATCATGAACTGACACCAAGAAATTGTTCCCAGCTGGTTCGCAGGAGAGCCTGAGCACATCTTTTCAAAAGTTCCAGGGGGCTTGGTTTCTGAAGAGCCTAACCAGACCTTTTTGCTTGCAAACATCCCCTTATATCTTGTCTGCCTTCTAAGAACACAATTGCAAAGCTATTTCTACATGCTCGAGACAGTGTAAGGGGGGGAGGCTGCTATCTCAGTGTCTTAACACCCTCTTGGCATCACACCTTAGGGGACAAGAGGATCAGCATGGAGGCCAGCATTTCTGCTGGTTTACAGAGTAACAGAGGTTTTTGTGTGTTCTAGATGTAAACATCAAGTATTCAAAATTCCCCGTAATTGAAAGAGAAAACAAATTTTTAAAAAAACCAAATAATCCCCCAAAACAGGAGAAGCCCTTCTACCCCAATGGTGACATGTAAAGGTATTTCTCATCCTTCTAAATTTTCTATGCAGGCTGAAAAAGTAAAAAAAAGGGAAGTTCTTCATTAGATACTGTACTTTGGTAATCTTATTAACATTTCAGTACTTTGATTGCTCTGGTATATTATTTTTCTTATTGTGTTTGAGGTTGGAAATAGATGTAATTGCCTGAAACTACTTGTATTCAGAAAGTATAGGTACAATTCACTGGCAATCATGTTCTGCTTAACATCTGTAATATCTTAATATTGTTGTATATATTGGAGAAGTTATGTTATACATTCTGGAATAGAAACATGAGACAGAATTATAAATTCGGGAAAACTAGTCCCACACTAATATCTGGTATTCTGCTGGGTAGGCAAATGAAAACCTTAGGACTATTAGAATTTTATCACTTGTTTAGCCTGAAGTGCACACATATTTTTTTAGAATATAATGGTTTTCTGGGCAGCAAAATAATCGTGTTACAGGGCAAATTAGTGTGAATTTTAGCTGTTAATTACAACTAAATGTCTGTACTACATTCCTATATTAACAAAATTAAAAAAAAATACATCCCTAGCAAGTATGTAGATACTTGGAACTTAATATAGTTCCAAAACTATATTAAGACGCTTTTCACAAAAACCTGCTGAACATAGCCAAGTTTGTTTAAAAATTATTTTATTTCTTGCTGATTTATTATAATTTTTAATAAGTAAATTTGCCAAAACATCATGAAAATAAACAGTAGGAAATCTGCAACATTTTTCTGACTCACTAAGAATATTTTCACTCACCTCTGACTTGTCTCTGCTGGGATTGTCTACTCGGTTTTCAGTTCCAACCTGTTCATTGAGAAGGTAGCACTGATGGCTTCCCTGAATAACTCCTGCCAGAAAAAAGAAAGTGTTTTCTCTAGAGATAATTTGAATATGCTTCTTGTTGGATAGAATCCAGATTCAGACTAATGAATTAGGCTAGTCTGGTTAATATGGAAGAATTAATCACCCGGCAGCAGAGAGAGAACTAAAAATTGAAGGATCAGTTTGATTTAAATTGCAATTTAAAAACAATAATATTTTTAACATTGCTGAACATGATGTTGTGAGGAAGGTCAGATCCAGAATCCATGGAGAATCTACCAGATTAAGACAAATATATGGCTTAGATTATTCTTTTTTTTTTTTTTTTTTAATCTTTTACTAACTTCAAGATGCTTTTCACAATTATTTTAAGTTTAGGTAATAATTCAGTTTATTCTACTTAGCAGCCTAGGTCAGAGTAGTTTTAATAATAATGTATATTTTCCAATATATATTTTTTTTTTTTTGTAAAATGGTGTATATTTTTTCAATCCTGTCAGAAAAACAAAATTTTATCTTTATCGTTTTATCTCCTTCTTTTGCTCATTACCCACATCTCTCCTTCCATTTCAGCTAACACAAGTGTAAGCCTTCTTGTTCTTTTTCTTTGTCCTTACCCATCCTGCCCATTGGCTCACGTTCATCTCCCCTTCTGCCATTCCCTTCTACCTCCCTGGTTGCTCTCATGCTCTGTCTGCAGCATTTGAGAATCTGCTGAGGCACAGATGGCAGTTAATCTCCGTGAGTTCATCCACAAGGAATCACATTTTATTTTAAAGAAAGGCAATTTCCATTTTATAAGGTCTATCTTTTACCTATTATAACTTAATGAGAAAGTAAAAGTTTATGTGAACTGTATTAAATGCTGCAGAATAACTTACTAGCAATGCTGTCTTCAAAACTATATATATATATGAAGTAGTTGTAATATATTTTCTTTAAATGCAGCAGACACTGAATGTAGCTACACTGCAATACAATTCTCTCTGTCTTTTAAAGGGGTAGCTGAGTGATTGTCTCATCATTTTCATTTATCTTTTTACTTTTTGCTTTACAGGGGGTCTTTTTCCCTTGGAATAAGCCTGGCTATTTCATCCCATATAGTCTGATGAATAGAGATTTTATGACCTCTCTGTAACGAGTGGATGAGAAGGAAATAGATTTCTATATTTGGCTACTGTTGGGATATATATACTTTTTCCTTTTGTGAAAGGAAGGCTTAAGTGAAAGTTATTCCTGTAGATGCACATAAGGCTGAGGAAAAAGCAGAGATCTCTTAGCACACTTTTTGACACAAGCAGCTCAGTGGGAGACTCAGCACAGATGGTTTAAAGGGCTGTTGTAAGGACTGAAATAGTCTCTGGACTTCTCAAAAGTCCTAATCTCTTTAGGGCAATGAGAGCTTGTAACTGAGCACATTGAGGTCTGAGGGGAGCTGCTGCTGGCAGAACTCCCAGACTTCAACCACTGGTAAAGGTCACAATTGTTTAAAGTATATAATATAGGAAATGGAAGAGTTTTTATGGAATAACCACAAAGTTGGTATTTGTTTTGTAACCTTTTTTTAAAATCACTATTGGCAAGATAGACTTAAATCACAGTTTTGTTGTTAAAAAAATTTTGTAATGGCTGAATTACTATCAAATCAAGGAAATTAGATTTTTGCAATGTAATCAGAATTATATATATCAAAATAAATTTCATCTGCATCATCTCATACCTTCAACAGTGTTAATTTTTTTTCACCCTTTTGAATTGTTCAAGTGTCTATTTCATACAGAAATTGACTCATTCTAGTTTTCATTTGAGTACGAAACAAAAAGCATAGTTAAAAAAAAAAGCTGGAAGTGTTTTGGTATTAGAATATTAGGGAAAAACATAACCTGTCTCATTTCCTGAAGCATTTCCAGAACTTCTCCCATCCCCAATTATGTCAGAAGTTTAACTGCATTTTGATTGCATTTTTTAATGTAGACCTGAACCTGACTTTGAATCTTTTGAAAACCATTCAAGCTCAAAGATATTTTAACAGGTTTTTGAGCTTTTTTAATTGTATTATACATGTAAAATGTGTATTATGAGTTGTCTTTTTGAGTGATGATGGAAAGTGTGCTCCTAAGGAATTATTATCATTAAATATTTCCTTTCATAACAATAAAAATATAAATCATTGTCTTGAGAAAACATCCAGTGTGGGTAATGGCATGTCAAAATTCATCTGGCAGATCCTAATGTCTTCCTCTGTTAGGAGGTGTTACTACCTTGACCTGGAGAATATGATTGGAATTTAGTAACATCTTAAATCTGAATATAGCAATTTTATAAGGAGTTGCACAGCTCCTTCCCTTTCACATCAACAAACTGAAAATTTACTGTGGTTAGTTTTTTTAGAGAAGTTCAAGTAGAAAACTTTGAAACCTGCTCATCTAAGGCTATGGCTGGTAGGAATGTTTACAAGTTTAGACAAATGAGCAGAGCGGTGCTATCATAAAAAATCTTGTCCCAAATGCTGGTCATGAGAGCACATTTAGGAGGCACAGTCTCCTTGAGCCAAGGTTGAACTTACAGGCAGTGCTGGGCAGAACACCCGCACAGCCCAGGTAATCTTCTCTGTAGTGAATTGAGCCTTCTGGGACCCTGCATGTCACACTGCAGGCTACCCCTCCACTGCTCCAGCTGTGTGCCTTTTATATTTTAAAGCCTCATTATAGAAGAATTCCAGATGATCTGACCTTGTTACTTCTGGAATAATATGTTTCTGGTTTGAAGTAAGGGATCTCTCTTGATGACTTTGTTATTCTGTGTCAAACACTTTGTCCACTGGAGAATAAGTGGGAGAATAACAATGCAGCACAGACTGACATTGCAGACTTGTATGTGCAGAAAGTTTTATTGAAGAGTGTAACTAAATGTCTTCTATAACCTAAGTGCTGGATAGAATGTATGACTTAGGAGATGTGTCAGGTTTTTTTTTTCCTTTTCTTTTTTTTCTTTACCACTTCATTTAGAGGCAAAAAAAACTGGAAAGTAACTGACTTTTAAATCGATGTGATAATTTTTGCTGTCTTACCTAAACAGATCCATTTTTTACATTTAATTAGATTCAATGGCCCAGTGTTTCTTATATCAACATTATTTTATTTCAAAGTTCATTCCTGTCCTCAGCTTCACCTGTCATTATGGCACATCAGCACTTAGACTTCCAGTCAGTCATTCCAGTTTGAGGCTCAGGGGGTCTGATTATCTCACCCTGAAATTTCAGAGTCAGCTTTAAATATTTATGCAGATAATTAATTTTTGCTGTTCCCACACAGGATTGACATCTTCAAGTACGTGATATATGGTGTAGCAGCTGCATTCTTTGTATATGGCATTCTGCTGATGGTGGAGGGATTCTTTACAACTGGTGCCATCAAGGATCTCTATGGAGATTTCAAAATCACCACTTGTGGCAGATGTGTGAGTGCCTGGGTAAGTGGCTAAAAAAGCTTTTGTGACAAATTCAATATGCTCTGTATATATTTTTAGTGCCTTGTGATGTTTATTTTTTTGGTTTTGTTTTTCTTTAATATTTTGTGATACCTCAGTTCGGTGTTTAAAAGGAGAACAGTGTTAAAAATATTCTCTGTACTGGTTAAATGCTAAGTAATTCTTGCTACTGAGGAGCAATGAATTTTACCATCTGAGTGAGAAAGCTTGTTACCTCAGCAACATAAGCTGTACTGAGCAGGACTAAAACTGTAAGGTCTCCAGCTCTACTGGGAATGAAATATTTCCCTTACTAATATTTTCAGTTATTTTAGAAATCTTGCCTGTTCCTCTTTGGAACAAGCCGAGACCTGTCATCAGGTTCTAAATGGCAAACAGGCCATTATTTACTCCTGTGTTAATCTCTGGTTTGGAGAGACCATTCACTTATAACCCTGGAAAATTTGGAATCAAAAATTTTTGATTTGTACTAGGACTTAAATCGAACTTTATCATACTAAAATTGATGACTGTTTCAAATGGGATTATTTCAAAATTTCTGTTCAGTGTCAGGTAAGTGACTTATTGGTTTTGGTTTTTTTATTTGACTGCTCTATGTCTAAGCTAAAAAGCCTATGTGCTTGGTAGCTGTTGGAGTTGGATATTTCTGAAAACACAGTCTGCATGAAAACCTCATATTTTGTGATGAATACTAAATAAATAAGTACAGCCAAATGGATCTGGGTATTAGAGTACACTTATTTTTATGCTATATTAATGATAAATAACCTATAAATTTTAGGCAGGGTTGGGTTTCCCACTGTAAGTGTCAACATTTAATTCAGTGCAATACAGTCTGTAACGAATATAAGCAATAGTTACTTCCAAGCACACAAAACTATCAAAACGAATACTTTGGATACCCTGAGATTTAAGGTTAAACTGGACACAGATGACCTGCCTTGTGTAAATTGGAGAATGCAGTCTGTATGTCATCTCTGTGTAAATGTAATCTGCTCCACAATAATCCTGAGGTTTTGTCTCCTTTTCTTGTGTTCTTGTCATCATTCTATGATTTTAACACTTTGACTAAGATTGCTTTAAAACCTTTAAATAAATATATAAAAAAAGACTGAGAACATTTTAAATTAAGAGCAGTCATTGCTTATGCCAACACAGCCTTCATCTTCTGGAAAGAAGTCTCTAATCTGTATTCACTGAGGGCCTACTGAGTTAGTTCCAATTCCATATAGAGTGGCAAGATTTTCAGAACACTTTTTCTTCACAGCTTCTATGAATGCCTGTCCTCAGTACTGCAGCAGAGCAGTGCTACATCCTCTCTCAGTTTTGATAGCTGTAATTCTATAGTATGTGTCTCGAAAAAATGAATGGTTAAGCAGCTATTCCATGGTTAAGATCACTGTTATTACTTGTTATTCATGAAATTATTTCCTTCAACACTTTGCTTTCCTCATCAGTAATTTGCAATGTTTGTGTTTTACTTTGAGAAGCCCTGGGTTGATGTACATGGCGCAGCTAAGGTTCAGGCTGTATAGTCTTTATGACCACAATTACAGCAACTCATCAATTAGTTTGAGTAAATACCTTGTTGTCCTTGTTCTTGAAATCAGTTTTTTCTTTTTCCAAGTGAAAAAACCCAAACCTGCTGTTTGATTGCTCGTCTCATTTTGATGCTGTGTCAGTAAGATTGCTATACAAATGCCTGGAGTTATTTTGGATTATTATTCTGGCTTTAGTGTCTGTACTCTAGAGAGTATATGTCAATTAAAACTTGATATCCTCTTTGCTAGGTTGATTTTCATTGTCTCATACTTAAAATTCTTAAGGAAAAAATAACATCTTAGGTTTAAAAAAAACATGTATTTGGAATGAAAAAATATTTCAATCCAAGACAGATGTGTTTAGAATTTATTCAGTTCCATAACACATGCAATGTTATCAAGAAATAAGACCTTAGAACAACAAAAAGAATAGTGGAGAGGAAAATGAAACCAAATCAGTATTGTGTGTCAAGTCCAGATTGTTCAATTGCTAAAATAGTGCTGCAATAAATTTTGTTCTGTACAGTTGCCAAAATGAGATAATGCTATTGAAAAGGGTTGGCAGATACTACAAGTTGCAAGAATGCTTCTTGTATACAGTTTTGAGCTAGTAAGTTTGTAGATATTAAAAATCTAAACTGTCAAAGATTAAACAGTTGGTTTCTTTTAACAGTGCCTTAATGCTACCAGAAATTTACACACAGGATATTTGTTGTTTTGAAAAATTAAAATTATAAAAATGGCTCCACATCAAAAACACCTTTGTAAAAACTCCAGTTGTGACTATGATTTCACATCAGATTTGTTGATGTCTTTCTAAATAGAAGTTTAACATTTAACATTTCATTTAAAGTCTGAAAATGAAGTCCTTCAGCTTTACCATTGTCATCAGTTGTTTGTCATTAATATTTTTGCAGGACCGAATTTCTTATGTCTCTGACTAAACCTATTATGAAAACATAGGAAAAAATCAATAAAAAATTTCAAGAAAGAAAAATTTATTTTAACTTTGTGTAAATAAGGTATATTTCTATATATAGAAATATACAAAAAAATAACACCTTTTTCTCTTTCTTAAGAAATATTTTTGAAAAGCAAACTTTTGAGAACACTGATAGCCAACATCTGAAGGATCTTTTCATGTGCTCTTCCTGACCTCCCTCCTTAGCTGCAAATAGCTCACTTTCTAGCTCTGAATTGGCAAAAGAAATTTTTTTTGCCTGAAGTAATGGAAAAAAAATAGCTCAGCCCAACCTTTCCAGTGAATGTATAGTTGACTTATCAGCTGATATGAGCCTTCAGAGGCTAACATCCAAGTCATGTCAGTGCTGCCATGCAGTAGAGCCTCTCACATCTGAGAGAGGCCTTGTGAAAGTGACAGTGAAGGCTCTCACTGGCACTGTTTGCAGACTCAATTTACTGTGAAAAG